GATCCCGGGAATACAGCGAGGGATCTGCGGGAATAGAGGGAGGGATCTGTGGGATACAGCGAGTGAGGGATCCCAGGAATACAGCGAGGGATCTGCGGGATACAGCAAGGGATCTGTGGGATACAGTGAGGGATCTGTGGGATACAGCGAGTGAGGGATCCCAGGAATACAGCGAGAGATCTGCAGGATACAGAGAGTAAGGGATCCCGGGAATACAGCGAGGGATCTGTGGGAATAGAGTGAGGGATCTGCGGGATACAGTGAGGGATCTGTGGGATACAGCGAGGGATCTGTGGGATAAAGTGAGGGATCTGTGGCATACAGAGAGGGATCTGCAGGATACAGTGAGGGATCCACATGAATACAGTGAGGGATCTGTGCAAATATAGTGAGGGATCTGTGGGATAAAGTGAGGGATCCACAGGAATACAGTGAGGGATCTGTTTCATACAGCAAGGGATCTGCGGGAATATAGTGAGAGATCCACAGGAATACAGCAAGGAATCTGTGGGATACAGTGAGAGATCTCTGGGATAAAGGGAGGGATCCACAGGAACACAGTGAGGGATCTGTGGGAATACGTGAGGAATCTGTGGGATAAAGAAAAGGATCCACAAGAATACACTGAGGGATCTGTGGGAATGCAGTGAGGGATTCAGGGGAATACAGCAAGGAATCTGTGGGATACAGAGAGGAATCCTGGGAATACAGTGTGGAATCCCAGGAATAGAGTGAGGGATCCCAGGAATACAGTGAGGGATCCATGGGATACAGCAAGGCATCCATGGGAATACAGTGAGGGATCCCAGGAATACAGCGAGGGATCCACGGAATACAGTGCGGGATCCCGGGAACACAGGGAGGATTCCCCGGACACCGGCACCCAGCAGGGACACACACACCCAGCCGTGGCTCAGGGTGTGATTCCCGCCCCCCATCCCAATGGAAAAATGCCAAACCCACGGCCAGGATTCCCCTCCAGCCCAGCTGTCCCTGCCGGAATCCCCTCCGCTCCCGAGGCTCTGCCTCCTTTCCCCTTTCCCAGCATTTTCCCTGCAGGATCAGGGGCCTTCCTCACCCTCTCCATCACCTTCCAGCACGGCCAGGGGCTGGGCAGGGGGGTTCGCTCCTGGAGTAACGAGGTGAGTGGGAATGCAGGGTGGAAGCTTGGATTGGGGCTGTCCAGAACTGTGTGGGATCCTCCAAAACTGGGTGGGATCCCCCAGACCTGTTTGGGATCCTCCATAACTGTTTGGGATCCTCCAGAACCGTTTTGGATCCCCCAGAACTTTGTGGGATCCTCCAGAACTGTGTGAGATCCCCCAGAACCGCTTGGGATCCTCCAGAATTGTTTGGGATCCCCCAGAACTGTTTGGGATCCTCCAGAATCATGTGGGATCCCCCAGAACCGTGTGGGATCCTCCAGAACTGTGTGGGATCCCCCAGAACTGTTTTAGATCCTCCAGAACTGTGTGGGATCCCCCAGAACTGTTTTATATCCCCAAAAATTGTGTGGGATCCCCCAGAACCGTTTTGGATCCCCCAGAACTGTGTGGGATGCCCCAAACCCTTGTGGGGTGCCCCAGCACCACCCTGGCTGCTCCCACACTCGAGGGGAGGCAGGTCCCGGGTGAGCAGGCTGAGATTTGGGAAAATCCCTCTGCTCCCTGCTGGCTTTTCCTGGATCCCTTCCCAAAAGCCCCGTTCCCAAAGGATCACCCCGAGAGGGGACAGATCCCAGCCAGCTCCCGGGCACGGAGACCCAACCGAAGCGGGCCAGCGCCGGCAGCTGCGGCCGGGGCAGCGCCAGGAGGAAGGGAGGCTCCTCATCGTCCTTCCCAGAGGGAAAAGGGACAGTCCCGAGCCTGGAAAGGCCAGGGAACACTTCCAGCTCCTGGCTCTGACCCCCGGGGCCGCAGGGCCACGTCCCCCCGGCGCTGCAGAAATTCCATCCGCAGCATCTGCCCGGGATTCCATCATGCACTTCACGTCCCACTGCAGGAGCCGGAGCATCCCCCGGCTGCTGACCTGCACGGAAACACTGACTGCTGCTGCTGCTGCTGCTGCAGGGAGCTGCAGCAGGGCAGGAAAAGCCATTCCTGCACCTGGCTCCAGGCAGGAGATGCTGCAGCAGGTGCCCGGTGAGGTGAGACAGGCACAGAGCGCACCCACGGATGGGGAGAGGTGGGAAAACAGCGCCAAAAAAAGGGAAGCAGGGAACGGGCAAGAGCTGGCACAACAGAATCCAGCGGCGGGGACGGAGCTGGAGCACGGTGGGGATGGGTTTTGATGGGATGTAGGCATCCTGGGGAATTCATGGATACTGTGGGAGTCCAGGGCTTCCCTCTGGCTGCCCTGGGACCCGGCAGAGGTCAGGAACCCCCCTGGACAGAGCCCCCAGAGACACTGGCTGTGATCTCTGGCCATGGAAAAGAGTTTTCAATCTTACAGGATCAATTACCAGCTCTGAGGGTTTGATATAAGGAATAATTAAGTGTGGCACAGGTGCAAAAGTAAAATTTTAGGATTCTAGATGAGGGGTCCAAAGGGGACAAGAGGGAGGAAATTGGGTGTGCCTTGTCCTTTTTCTCCTTCTTCATGCCCTCCATGTCTCACTGTGGTGTTGGCATTTTTCTGTTGGTTCAGGCTGGGGACACACTGTCCAACGTAGGTGACAGATATTGGCACGTTCTTGTAAATGCAGCCCAGGGAGTTTCTGGTATTTAATGTTTGTCACATCCCACTGAGGGCAGAGCCCCACACGCTGCCCTGCAGGACAGAGCTGGGCAGGGCAGCAGAACATGTGAGAGATCAACAGAATAAACAACCTGGAAACCAGCACAGACCAATTATGGCTTCTGCTTTGGCAGCGGGGCTGACAGAGACTTTTACAATCTCAGAATCATCAATACCAAAAATTCCGACAGATACCATCACAGCCCCCTCTGGATGAGCTTCCCCCAAAACAAGAAGAATCTCAGCACCCTGCACGTGCTTCCAGCCTTTTCCACCTCCTCTAGGAACCCCAGCCAGCACCCAGCGCTCTCCAATAAATCCAAAATGTCCCTGAGGTGAGAAACCCGTGGATTTAACACCCCGTGGAACAGCCAGGGGCACAGCACACCCCAGGGACGCCAGAGCAGGCAGCAGGATGAGGTTTTCCAGCTGGATTGCCCCATGGGGATGCTGTTTACTTTCTCCTTCCCCCAGGAAATCTCCTGCTGGCTCAGGAAACACCCTCAGGCACAGCTCTGCAGGGAGGAGACACTTCCCAGCCACAGCTTTGGTCCTCCCTTTCATTTTTTTGGCCAGTCCACTTGGGGTCAGATTGGAGAGCAATCAGTCACTTGGGAAATAACACCACTCCAGGCCTCCTCCCTCAAAGAAACCTCAAAAGACAGCATTTAAGACGAGCTTAATTTGGACAACTAAAAATAGCCAGCACCAGTCACACTGGAAAATGCAGGATGTGGAGCTTCACCCTCTCCCAGCTCCAGCCTGCACACAGCGGGGGGGTTGTGGCCTCCAAATTTTGGGGATTTGTCCCACAGGGAATCCAGCAGGACCCTCTGGGGCCCATCCCAGAGCCCTGCCCGGCTGCTCCGAGGGAAGTGCGGGGACCCAAAACTTTCCCAGGCAGGATGTGGTGACTCAGAGCCACGTCTGCAGCGGGACACCCAGGAAAGCTCCCAGCCACGCTCCCCAGCTTCTCCCAGCCCAGCCATGGCTCCGATCCCAGCTCCTGCAGCTGATCCAGCTCCCAGCCAGGCCTGTCCATCGGGATGAATCCTGGTTGTCATTCCTGCTGCTCCAGAGGCTGTCACCCACGCTGTCACCCCTCTTCCAGCCTCGCTCCGGCCATCCTGGGGTTCACCCAGCGCCAGCCTGCCCTCATTTCCCTGCACTAATCCCTCCCTGCTCCAGAGGCAGGAATAATTTTTAACTCAAGGTTCACGCCTTCAGGATTCAACCTGAATCCTGGTTGTCATTCCCGCTGCTCCCGAGGCTGTCACCCACGCTGTCACCCCTCTTCCAGCCTCGCTCCAGCCATCCTGGGGTTCACCCAGTGCCAGCCTGGCATTCCCAGCTGCAAATCCAGCCTGCCCTCATTTCCCTGCACTAATCCCTCCCTGCTCCAGAGGCAGGAATAATGTTTAACTCGAGGTTCACGCCGGAGCACCAGCTCCCTCCCAGCCCGGGTCAGCCCCAGGCGTGTCCCCGGCGCCGAGGCCGTGCCGGATCCCTGCCGCTGGCACGGGCACGTGCCCGGCTGTGCCAGGAAGCCCCTCCGGAGCTGCGGGAAGCTCCGGGAAGCTGGCACGGCGCGCTGCCAGCTGCAGCCATCCGTCACGCCGGGACTGGGACGCAGCCGGGCTGAGCTCTGCAGGTGCCACGAGAAAATCCCACATCCCGCTCGGAGCCGTCGCATCTCCCCCGGCATCATCCCAAAATCAGCGGCCTTCCACGGAGCAAGGAGGAGAGGGGGCAGTGCTGGAGGACTGAGCCATCTCCCGGCTCGTCCCGCTGCCCCTGGGCTGCCTGTGGAATGGCAGGAGTGGGAAAGCAGCCTTCCTCCAGGATCCTGGGCTGTGTCCCCAGCAGCACGGGGTTATTTTTAAGAAGCTGGAAAGTGAGGCGAGGAGCTGGAATAGCGAGGGGGCCACGCCACTAAAAGCCTCTGGAAAGGCTGGAGCCCTGGAGAGGCGAGGGGAGGCATTCCCAAACAGGAACAAAAGGCGAGAAGCGAAAAGCCGAGGGCATTCCAGGGGCCAGGAAGAACCGAGGGCATTCTAGGGGCCAGGAAAAGCCGAGGGCATTCCAGGGGCCGGGAAAAGCCGAGGGCATTCCAGGGGCCAGGAAAAGCCGAGGGCATTCCAGGGGCCAGGAAAAGCCGAGGGCATTCTAGGGGCCAGGAAAAGCCGAGGGCATTCCAGGGGCCAGGAAAAGCCGAGGGCATTCCAGGGGCCAGGAAGAACCGAGGGTATTCTAGGGGCCAGGAAAAGCCGAGGGCATTCCAGGGGCCACGGGCACCTCCCGGCTGAGCGAGGGGTGTCGAAGGGACACTAAAGCTCCAGCTGCTGCTGCAGGGTCCTTAATTAGCATCTCGAGAAACGGCGCCGAAAAATCAGACACCTACCGCCCGAAATCCGAGCCCGGAGCTGAAAATCCGATCGCCGACCCCGATGCTCAAAGAGCAAAGGTCACTTCCAGCCCCACGCCAGCCCCGCCACCACCCCACGGTCCCCGCGGTGCCCGGATTCACCCCCTGCCCACCGCCACCCCCTCGCAGAGGCAGCACGGCGAGGGCCAGCGGCTTATTTTTAGCCTGGAGAAGGCAGGAGCGGCCATCCCGACTCTTGTCCTTGGCGTGGGACACGCCGCTGTCCCCCCCCGGGCCACCCGCACCCCGCTGCCCCCCGGCTCTGCAGCGCTGCGTCCCCCCGGGGCTGGGCTGCATCACCTCCTCGGGCAGGAGCAGGAGGATGCTGGGCTCAGCCCTGGAGCCGCGGCACACGGAGCGGGGATTATTTACAGCTCCTTAACGGAGCGAGGCAGGGCTGACCTTTGCGAGCCGCAGACAAAAGAGGAGATGTCGGGAATCGCTGCTGCGGGACCCGGCCCGGCGCGGAGGGATGGCAGAGCCACGCTGGGGAGAGTGGGGGGGGTTCGGCAGAGGGGAACCGGCCACGCAGAGCCGAGCTCCGGCGCTGGGATCCCAGCCTGGGAAAGGAGGGATCGGATTCCTTCCTCCCCGGCCCCGCCGGACAAACTCTTCCGGGTGGGGACTCCTACGCGCCGGGCTCTGCCCAGGCACGGCTCGCTGCTCCTTCCCGCAGCAGCCACGGGGGCACGGGATGGGAAAACCGGGACTGCTCCTCGCCCCCGGCAACGCGCTCGGCTCAGCCCAGCTGCCGACTCATCCCTGCCGGGGAAGCGTGGAAGGAAAAGTTTCCCCGTCAGCACAAAGCGCGGACACTTGGCCGGAGCTTCCCCTCGGCCGGTGCTGCCCCGGCCGGGAGCTCCCCACGCTGGGACACGCCAGGGCTCGGCCACGGGTGGCCGCAGTGGGTGGGGGTGGCAAGGGACAGGCCCGGGGTGGCACTGCGGTGGCACTGGGGTGGCACTGGGGTGGCACACAGCCCCTGGTGCCGCAGGGAAGGGAAGGATTCCCGAGGCCGGCAGCTCTCCCATTGGCACTGGGCTACGGATGATCAATCCCGTCCCCTGATGGACGATCGATCCCACGATGGATGATCGATCCCACAATGGATGATCGATCCCGTCCCATGATGGACGATCGATCCCACGATGGATGATCGATCCCACAATGGATGATCGATCCCGTCCCATGATGGACAATTGATCCCACAATGGATGATCAATTCCATCCCATCCCACAATGGATGATCGATCCCATCTCATGATGGACGATCAATCCCACAATGGATGATCGATCCCGTCCCATGATGGACGATCGATCCCACGATGGATGATCCATCCCATCCCATCCCATCCCACAATGGATGATCAATCCCACAATGGATGATGGATCCCGCGATGGACGATCAATCCCACAATGGATGATCGATCCCGTCCCATGATGGACAATTGATCCCACAATGGATGATCAATCCCATCCCATCCCACAATGGATGATCGATCCCACAATGGACGATCGATC